TGAGGGTGTAGCTGACCAGAGGAGATGGAATTGTTCTAATACAAAACTTCTTAAAACAGGTTATTCCAGGTTGGGAGGAAAAGCTGGGGACAGGGCCCTTCTCACTTCTGCTGTGGTGCTTTGAAGATGTGGTTGACATTCAGGGCACCCTGTCCGAAACACCACAAGAGGACTGGTACAGTCCCCGTCTGGGTGTTGAATAGAGCCATGGAGCACCCTCAAGTGGCTGCTAAACTGCAGGGCCTTGCTGGTCTGGACTACTATCTTATGGCAAAAGTAAAGCAGCAGAAACCACTTTTGATATTATTTTTAGGGACTCTGAGAGGTGTACAGAGAGCAAACTGAATGTATTAATAAGAGTGGGACCTACAGAATTTTGAATGAATTGTCTATGATAGAAAACCACAGAATTCCTCAAGATAAGACAGGTGAGAAGAAGCCTAGAGGTTGATATAAGTCTTTATTGAGGAACATTAAATTTCTCAAAACTACTTTAAATGGAAGGGAAGTCTGTGGCAGACATACTACAGTCCATACCCTACCCAGATACTTGGACATAATTTCCTCCAAATTGACTGGAGCTCTGGTAATTTGTAAAGAAAAATTGCCCCGTGGCATCAGAAACTGTGTGTTTTCACATGGTGCAATGTTATCAATGCCTGATAAAGATTCTGACTTGGGGCCAAACCAGGTCCTGAGCTGTTTTCACTTTCTTGGGCCAGAAAATATACAGAGAGGAGGGAGGTGCATGAGGCCCTGCACCAGGAGTCGTGGGTGCCTCCGGAGCTCTGCCTGCCTGGATCTGCAGCCCGCTAGCCAGCCACACTTGGGCTGGTACTAGTCAGGTCAGAGTGGCACTGGATAAATGACTGAACACACGCTGAGAAGGGAAAAAAGCCAGACAAGTCTTGACACAAGAGGACCTGCTGCACTCAGGAAGGGGAGAGAGGGTGAACACCAGTAAGCAGGTCTACTTGGTTGACATGTTCTTTTCTGTGGAAATCCAGATTGCATGAGGAGCTGGAAGATCCCCCTGGAGTTCTTGCTTGAGCAAAGTTAGTAATGGAAGGGAAAAAAAATGGGCAATGGCCTTTAGGACCCCTAAAAATAGTTTGAGGGCACAGAGCAAGCAACAGCAAGTCCAGCTCAGCTCAGGCCCTAAGTGAGGGTGTGTGTGTGTGTGTGTGTGTGTGTGTGTGTGTGTGTGTGTGTGTGTGTCCTCACGGCCACGTCTGTGGCAGGAGAGACTCTTGAGTCTGTGGGCAGTTGGACTCCCTTTCCAGTCAGAAGTTTGTAAGGGTCCTTGCACATTACCATGCCCATTTCTCCTTACAAGCACAGAGTGGTTGAGCACAGCAGGGTAGCTGTAACACTGGGCAAACAACCCTCTCATGCTGAGAAAATTTAGTCTATGTGACAGACAAAATCCACAAGATGAGGATTCTTTCTTTCTTGTCCTCCAGGAAGGAGACCCCTCTCATTGACAGCTGGGTTCCTGGTCCTGTGCAGATTAGGGGATGAGGGACAGAAGAAAAGAGCAAAGACAAGGACAAGGAGTTCCTTTTTGCAGGAGAGAAAAAAAAAAATGGAAGGGGAGAGAGGGTGAACACCAGTAAGCAGGTCTACTTGGTTGACATGTTCTTTTCTGTGGAAATCCAGATTGCATGAGGAGCTGGAAGATCCCCCTGGAGTTCTTGCTTGAGCAAAGTTAGTAATGGAAGGGAAAAAAAATGGGCAATGGCCTTTAGGACCCCTAAAAATAGTTTGAGGGCACAGAGCAAGCAACAGCAAGTCCAGCTCAGCTCAGGCCCTAAGTGAGGGTGTGTGTGTGTGTGTGTGTGTGTGTGTGTGTGTGTGTGTGTGTGTGTGTCCTCACGGCCACGTCTGTGGCAGGAGAGACTCTTGAGTCTGTGGGCAGTTGGACTCCCTTTCCAGTCAGAAGTTTGTAAGGGTCCTTGCACATTACCATGCCCATTTCTCCTTACAAGCACAGAGTGGTTGAGCACAGCAGGGTAGCTGTAACACTGGGCAAACAACCCTCTCATGCTGAGAAAATTTAGTCTATGTGACAGACAAAATCCACAAGATGAGGATTCTTTCTTTCTTGTCCTCCAGGAAGGAGACCCCTCTCATTGACAGCTGGGTTCCTGGTCCTGTGCAGATTAGGGGATGAGGGACAGAAGAAAAGAGCAAAGACAAGGACAAGGAGTTCCTTTTTGCAGGAGAGAAAAAAAAAAAACATCCAAGAAGTGAAGGGAGCAGAGGAGTGAAAAGTCAGAGCCAGCTTGAGAGAAAGGTTGGAGGTGTTTGGGGAGAAAGGAGAGAGAATAGCAGCAGCTCTGCCATGATGTGCAAGATGAACAGAGAAGGAGTGGGAGAAAAGTTTAAGATACTTTGCTCTGTGCTAAGACTGTTAACCCCACGAGAGTTTTCCCAGAGACTACAACAAAAATCTAAATTGCTTTTTAAATCTTTGTGGCTATTGGCTGTGTTTCTTTTGAATGTGGTATCTTGCTGAGATGGGCACAAGGCAACTCAGCTCCATGGAAGTTACATTTGGGGAGTGCTGTTGCGGTATTGGACCTACGGTGCAGCAGCCAGCTCTACCTTGATTTTGACCACTACTCCACATCTGAGTCAAGCAAGCATCCTCATCATGACTGTTGACTTTATAAGTGCAAAAAGTACACCAGCCATGTAAGATAGAGACTGGAGATAAACTAGACACCAGAGAGAGGAAAATGGCAGAGACTACCAAGGACCACAATTTTAGGAAGGGTGTGATGCTTGGAAATGGGTGCATCTTAGGGGGACCTACACCTGTGCAGTTTGGAGTCTCTTCTCCCCATTGGCTGATGAAACGGGATGAAGGAAAGAAGAGCTAAGGTGGTTCCCAGAGGGTAAGAGAAAGGCAGGAAGCAGAAGAGGTGTGGGAGTTATTTTTTCTTGCAGTATGGCATACTTGCTATGTGCCAATACTCTCGTGGTATGGCCAGAGCAGATTTTAGCCCCCTTTCTCTTGGGGCATGGACCCCTCACAGCCCCTAGGGTGCTGGTGTGCAGAGGGCCCAGCCCTGTAGCCCTGTAGCCCAGACTAAGACTATGCTGCACTCTCTGCATCTGTCTCTCTTATTTTTCTGAGACTAGACCCTTATCTTCTTTTCCCTTGTCTCATTTTCACACAGAATTGCTAAAATGATCAGGTCTGAATCTGATGCACCAGTTGTCTCCTTCCTATATTTCTGAGTCCTGCTACCAGTCTACTCCCTCAGTTTCCACCTACCCTTGGCCCTCAAATGTCTGACCTGTAATTTGGATGGGCCACATCCCTGATCCCGGCATCTGTTCCCCATCTTCTTTTGTGCTTCTCTAATAACTCCCCTCCCTCTAGACTCAGACCCCTATACCATCAGCAGATTTCATGCCAGCACTTCTGGGCAGCACGATGTAACCTTCTGTGGAAAGCCTTGGTATATGTGGTATCCTCAACTATATATAGTGGCAAAGGGCCTTGTGTGCTGGCATAACCCAGCTCCTACTGTCTGGGGGCTGTGTTTAATGTAAGGTTAAGGCTAAGATGCAAGGCCCTATACTGGGGCAGGGTCAGTCCTTGTAGGTAGAAGGTAGGGCCTCAGGAGTGAGGAAACTGGCAACATGAAATCGTCCATGTGAAGTTGGGTTAAGAGATGTGAAGTAAAAGGCTCAGGCGACAAGCCCTGAAAGTTGTACCTTTTCTGGCCAATGCAGAGCTGTCCGGGGATGGAACAGAAGGTTGAACTTGTAAGCCCCGAGAACATGCTTGCTGTAGTATGGTCAGAAATTCATGCTGTGTAAGCTTGGCTGTTTTTTTTTTTTATGTCTTGTCTGTTTCTAGTTTTCCTATAGTACTTTTGGTAAGGTCTTTTTGTAAAACCAGCTCATTTCATCTGTGCTTAGGGAAAAGCATTTCTGTCTTCTGAACTTCAGGAGTGACCTATGGGGAGCATGGCTGAGGGAGGAGTGAGAGCCGAGGTGAAAGCACCGCACAGTTATGGAAGGAAGGAGGGAGCAAGCAAGTAGGATTGAGTCATTTGTTTTCTAAGATATAATGCTATAGGGTTTTTAATTTGTTCATACATTTGTTTTGGGAAGTCACATTTTTTATGGCTGCAGAGTACTTGGTTATATCAACACTGTCTTAAATATTCTGCTGGTTAGAAAATTTCCTCACTAATTTCTATTTTAATAGCAGTAAGACAGGCATAGGAGTGTCTTACTGTGCCTCCCCCACCCACAACCAGTTTCTCTGCCTCAGCCCCACTCTTCATCACTAGAGTATGAAGCCAGAGAAATTCCAAGATAATTTATTTGCTTCACTGAACCCCTAGTAAACAAAACACCCATACCCAGCTCTTCCCCATCTTGAAGTGGCAGTTTGCTTCTCTTCCCTGGGTTTTCTCCTCATGAACTTCTTTTTTGGTTTCTGACCTCTTGGCTTCTCCAATCTACGAAGGTTGTTATTGTTTGCTTCCCAATCCAAGGTCATCTGTCGTTACATTAAATTCAATTTTTCTTCCTTCTCATCCCCTGCTACTGCAGCCCTCAAGCAGGGAAAGGAGGGGTCACAGAGGTTGAGACACTCAGTGTCCGTCTGTACGTTGGCACTGGGCCTGCGGAGGGGGGACTGGCCGCGCAGTTTCCCGGTCCACCCCTCCCACACATTGCCAACAGTTCACCCTTTCATCTGTGAGCTGATGCACAGTGCTGTTGAGTTAGCAGCAGTATTAGAGATTGTCCAGTCCATCCCCCAACACATCAGGAAAATGACTTTAGTCAAGGTCTTTGAATGAATAGGTAGGTGGCAGAAACAAAATCTAATTCAGGTCTCCTAAAATCTACGACGGTGTGGACCGCGGGGGTTGTGGGTGGGGGAATAGGACGTAAAGCCTCGCTTCTTTTTAAAGTTGTCATTCAGCAAATGTACCAGGCATTTCCTTCCTGCTTGCCCGGCACTATTTTAGGTGCTGGGAATTCCGTGATGGAGGGCGCAGAGGAGATGGAAATCTTTGCCCTTAGGAAGCTTTCCTTCCCAAAACTTAGGTACGTGGCCTCACCGTCCTGGGAAAACTCCCCGTGCCCTGTTAGGACCAGCGGGGTCTCAGCCGGGAGGGAGTCCCTTCCTTTGTCAGCTCCCGTGCTGTCTACAGCGAAAGGCTGACAGGCCGCAGGAGCCGACGCGAGGCGGAGCCCGCCGAGCCCCTCCAGCCCGCGCGCCGCCGACGCCGGCGGGCCAGCTCCAGAGCGCTGCGCCCCGCCCCATCTGCGACCGCGAGAGGCGGCCGCATCGGTCCGCTTCCCGGCGCCCGGCTGCAGGACGCGGCAGCGAGCCCCGGCCCACCGCGCTCTCCGGAGGGCGGCTGCCGGCGGGAAACGCCCGCCACGCAGTGGCGCGCAGGGTCCGGTGCCGGGACTGGCGGAGGGCTGCCCTCTCCCGGGCCGGGGGTTTGCGCAGCGGACCCTCGCTCACGCTTCCCTGTTAAACACCGCAACCATCCTCTCCGCAGCCTCAGCGGAGCCGCCGCAGCATCCCGCCCAGCCGCCCCACCCGCGAGCCCGACGCCTAGGCCCCACTGCAGCTTCCCACGCGGCCTCTCCTCTCTTCCTCACTTCCTGGTTGCCATGGAGACATACGTCATCTACGTGTGCACGTCGCCTTGGAAACGGGGGCATCCGCGGCTGAGAGGCCCGCCCCTGCCGCCCCAGGCACGCTCGCGGGCGCTGCCGGTCAATGGCTGGGGGGAGTCCCGATCCGAACCCGCTGCCGGCCGCGGCTTCGATCCGGGCTCCTTCCTCCGAGAGCGCTTCTGTGAACAGGGTGCCGGCGCGCACTGCTGCCCGCGGGGCCCGGGGAGCGGCGCGGACCCGGGCGCGATTGCGGACGTGAGGCGGGGCAGGCGCTTCTGCCCCCGGCGAGCCGAGAGACGCCGGCCGGGACTCTCGCCGGGTCCTCGGCCCGCCGGCTGGTCCCGGCCTTCCTTGATCCCGACCGCGCCCTCCGCCGAGGACTCGCCTCCTCTCGTCGGCTCCCTCCCCTCCCGGCCCCTTCCTCACCCGGAGGCCGGGCTGGACCCGACCCGCTGCTGCCATTCAATGGAGGACGGTTTGCTGGAGATCATGACCAAGGACGGCAGCGACATGCCGGCACCTCTGGAAGTGTCCACCGTGCCGGCCGTGGGGGACGTGCTTTCCGGCGAGTACAACGGCGGGATGAAGGAACTGATGGAGCACCTGAAGGCCCAGCTGCAGGCCCTGTTTGAGGACGTGAGGGCCATGCGGGGGGCCCTGGATGAGCAGGCCTCCCATATCCAGGTGCTCTCCGACGACGTGTGCGCCAACCAGCGGGCCATCGTCTCCATGTGCCAGATTATGACCACCGCGCCCCGCCAGGGAGGCCTGGGCGTGGTCGCCGGCAAGGGGAGCCTCCCAGGCGCCCCCCGAGAGCCCGAAACGCCTTCTCCCGGGATCGGGGACAGCGGTTTGCTGGGTCGCGATCCTGAGGACGACCAAGAGGAGAAGGCGATGCCCTGCTCTGCCACACCTACTAGTCACTGCGAGCGCCCGGAGAGCCCCTGCGCTCTCCTGGCGGGGGACGGGCCACTTGTGGAGCCTCTGGATCTGCCCGACATCACTCTGCTGCAGCTGGAGGGCGAGGCCTCTCTGTGAGGGAACTCCGAAGGGGCACGACTGTCCCGGGCTGGCATTGGGTTTCCAAGCGCATGACGCGAGGGACTGGAACGGCGCGGTGCAGCATGCTGCGCTCAGACCGCTGCGCCCGTGGGTCAGGCAGAGAGATTCCCTGGAGGAAGGACTTACCGGATGAAGGACTTTGGGAGCATCACGAATTCTTTCTGCCTAACCAAGGGAGATGTAGCAAACTGCGGAAAGGTGAGGTTCCGGGGAGAGGATCCACCCATCTCTGGACCGCCGTCCATCCCCTACCCTGCCCATTTTGCCCTCCCCAGGCAGCAAGAGAACTCCTGACTTGTGTAAATAAAATTCTGCTTTTTCTATTCTGACAAAGGACTAACCTAGGACTATGGCAAATACTCTTTAACGATTTACCTAGAAATTAAGGAATTTGGGGGTATTCTGTTCTGGCAACAGGAAATTTACCCTTCTGCTGAAATCCAAGATATTGAGCGCTCTGCAGAAGCCTCTCCCCCTCACAGATCTCTGCGGCTGCTGATTGGTAAAGGAAGCTTGAGGAGGGAACTCCAGCCCTAGAAATCTGTGTGAATGGGGGTTCCAAGGGCCCCTGGACTGGGAGGAGCTGGCTGTGAATGTGCATGAAGACGTAATAGCTCAGCCACTAGGATTTTGCATGCAGAGCGGATTCTGCCTTGTCATCCCTTCATCTGGGATTGCTTTATCCACTCGCTGGGGCTTAGAGAACAAAGAGCCCAGTTCACAGGCAGAGACTTGGGGGGTGCTCAGCCGCCGCCCTCCAGATATAGGGGATACCTGAGGGACTCTTGGGGGCCGCAGCCAAAAACTCTCTCCTCGCTACACCTGCTTAACTTCAGTTCCTTTTCCTGTCGAAATGTCCCTACCTGCTGCCTCTCGGTGTTGCCTCCATAACGTCTTGTGTATGTTATGTGTGCCAATTTGTGTAGTAGTGTGTGAGCCCTGAGGGGCAGGGCTTGTGGCTCTGGTGTTAGGTTTAGGGGGCTTCAGATCCTTCTGAGAGTTCCAGGCTATCATGGCGCTTTCCCCTCTCCTTTCCTCTTATCCCCCACAACCAGGGCATGGAGCATGTGACTGTCCTGAGGTTCCTAAATGATATGCCTCCCTCCCAACTCAAGTGGTGACTTTGTGTGCCCTTCCTCTTTCTCTGTGTACTCCTTCTTAATGCTTTCCTTGGTGTTAATAAAGAGGTGTCATCTCCCCTCCTTGCTGAGTGGTACTAGTGGATGGCAGGGTGGGGCTTCTGGGCCCGCTGCATGGACCAGAGCTTAGTGGCAACTGCAGGGACCATGCCTTCCCTCCTCTCCCCTTGCCTGCAGCTCTAATGAGTCGACCATCCGTGTCCTGGTTGGGACATGCACTGCCAGTTCTACCCATTTCTTTCCCAGCTGTTCTGGACCTGGACCTCAAGCTGGACTGGTGAAGTAGAGGGTAGCGCTGTGACACCCAAACTAACAAGGGTTTTTAGTAGCTACAACTCCAGATGTGCAAGAGACTTCTTTTCAGGGAAGCACACAGATGATTCCCAAATCTAAGTCCTGGAATGGCAGGCATGACACCTGTTCCAAGGGAGGGCTTGAGAGGGGGCACTGTTCAGGAGGGATTGCCTGGGATCTCTGGGAGCAGAGTGACACATCACAAAGAAACCACAGTAACTGCCTCAGGGCCCTGGTGGAGAATGCTGGTAAGGAGTTCCCCATGGAGCTCAGACTGACAGCAGCTCTACTCTGCTCCCCAGCACAGGAGATTTCCTGAGACCACCCCAAATGGATTTGGGAAAAGAATGAGTTGGGGTGCTGTGTGCATGCAGCCAGGAGCTGGAAAAAGCACCAGAGTCACAGATCTGGGCTTGAATCACAGTCCAGCACTGCCTGAGGCTTGATTTACTGCTTGAGACCTAGTTTCTGCATGTGTTAAATGGGGACAAGAAGTAGTCGGGGAGAAAAATATCTAAGACCCATAGGACATCTTGTGCAAAGGTTTTTTTTCTTACAGTTCTCTTGTGATGGGGGCAGGGGAGGGGTGGTGGTGGTTGTGGTGACTGACACCGCTGGGAAAACAGAACTTGGAAGATTAGGAGCTTTCTTTTTATATAGTCCTTCCCTATTTAAAGAACTCTTATCCCTCAGGATAGTCAAGTCAACGGGGATGATGAGATTCCCAAGATGACATAAATGTCATACAGCTTTTCTTGATGTGGGAGCAAAAACATTTTTATCATAAATGTCATGCAGCTATGGGCCTAAAAGGCCTTGGGGGCCAGCCCTGTGCATCTAGGATGACCAGAGGAAGCCTTGGGTGTGCAGTGGTTGGTGAATGTGTTCTGGGGCCCCAGAGAGGGCAGCAATGGTATATTAACGGGGAAATGCCCCTGAGGGCTGGGTAATAGGCTCCTGTGCCAGTTCCAGCATTCAGCACCAGTAACAACAGCTGTCAGTAGGCGCAGATGGGGTGCCAGACACTGTACCCAATTTTACCTCCCAACAATTGTATGAAGTAGGAACTATTATTTTCACCTAACAGTTTCACAGGCTTGAAGATTTGCTCAAGGTCACACAGCTAGTACTTGGCAGAGTCAGGACTTAGACCCTGACTTCTGACTTAAAGAGCCTTAGATCGGATCCCCTCTGCTAACTGCTCTATTGTTTGGGTCTTCAGAGAAGGAGATCCCTTTGTCCCTGATCAAAAGTCTAAGAGTTCTGAAAGAGAAACGTTGTTAGATTTAGTCACTTTTCATCTTCTCAACTTGAACAGGAAATTGCAGTTCAGTTTTGCTTAGTGACCTTTCTCAGAGGCCAGTTGATGGTAATACAATAGTGGCACAAAGAAGATGGCCTTCCGGACCTGCTCCTTGAAAGGAAGAAGCCAGTGCTCCCGGACAGTCCCTGATATGCCTCGTTTCTTATGTCTCTTTCCTATTACCTTTAACTCAGATTCTTCAGTCTGACATGAATCCAATTGACAAGATGGTCTGGTTGACAGAAAGGTCTGGTTGAGCCCTTTTACCCTTGACTGCATTTCAGTTCTCCTTCTTATGCTCACTGTCCTAAATGTGTCATAAGTTTCTCAGCCTAGTCCCTCCTACAAATTCTCCAGCTATTGCTCCCACATCAAGAAAGCTCCAACTGCCCCAGAAGGAGCACTTGCGCTAGCATCTCACAGGGGGCCGACACAGCCTCTTCCTCCCACCCAGCTCCGCTCTTCTGTTTCTCCTTTCGGATGCTCGTGAGAAGTGAGTTTCAGATGAGATTCCTAACCTGGGACTCATGACAAGGTCACTGCTGAACTTCAGGGGGCCATGGCCCCATGAAATTAAAATGCAGAATCATGCAAATTCTCCAGAGAGAGGCTCCATTATTTCAACTTAATATTTAAAGGTAGGAATTAGGTTAAAAAAAAATCAATGACACTTTTTAACTTGCAAACTACCAAAGAAGAAATGACTGTGCTTGAGCTGGGGCTGTATGGAGTGGGCAATACACCCTTGCCTTCAGGGGCCTCCAGAGTATTTCCTACACTGAACTGAAATCTTCACATAAATCTGATTAATCAAAAAATTCAAATTACATTGAGAACCTCTGGAATGTGCTAAAAATCCTGTTTCCCATTACTTCCAAGTATTCTAGTACTTGGAGTTTGCCGGAGCACGGCTGGTATGTAGAGGTGAGAGGGTTCCCTCCACAAGTCTGGGCTGCACTTTATGTAACACAACACTGCGTGTGACTTACCCAGCTCTCGGTTTCCTGCAGGCTTGTCTCTCATCAGAGGTAGCTCTTAATCTCAAAGTGAAATACATATACCTTCATAGAATAAGCAACTTTAGCCTGGTACATCTAACATTTTTTTCTAGAGAAATAGTTATTTCTCTAAGAGATGCAACTGAGCTCCGACATAAATATGGAGTTTCATGTAGCCTCCGCACCAGCACGGGGTATTGTCCCCCCTTCATGTATGTAATGCAAAGGCCCACCTAGAAGTTTCCTCACAACTAAGGAGCAGTTCTTTCTCAAATATATTTAAGTTTATACTATTTGTAAGACAGGAAAACTGCTTACATCTTTGAAAAGAGTTTTCCTAAGCATCTCACCCCATCTACATGCCTAGTAGAAATTCAGTCAAGATACTCTGTAAAAAATGATAAATACAAAAGGAGTATTCTTGAATCTTTTATTCCAGCTGCCCTCCTGCACCCCCCTTTTCTAGATTGTCACCAGAAAGTGAATTCCCTCATAGAAACACAGCCTTTCTGCTTGGAAGCACTGTAACTAACACAGGAAGGCTGCTTTGTATGCTGTAATGCTGTAATGGTGCCACCTGGCGAGGATTTGGGACATTACAAGGGGACCCTCAGGGTGAATTGATGGCTTTCAGTTCAGCAATTCCTGCTAGACTCTTAGTAAGGGCCTAGCCCTCAGCCAAATAGCCGGTGACGAGACAGAAGGGGAAGCTGAGCAAATAGCAAATAGAATGTACCTGAAGAATATAAACACTAATTGCAATAAACTCCTAACTGGTCTCCCCTAGCCTCTCACACATCTAAAATCCTGAAAATTAATATTCCTAAACCACAGCTCTGAACATTCATTTTCCTCAGAGATCTACATCATGTCCCCATTACATGTAAATGAAGAATAAAATCCAGTGGTTGGGGGGGAGTCTGGTCCTCCCCAGTAAGGCCCTGGCATACTTTTTACCCATGCATTTCATTTCCAGGTACTTTTTCTAGCCACCATCCCATCATTTGGAAGCCCAAATCATCTAGTCAGCTGGAAATGATTCCCAAGGGTACCCCAGCTCTGTGGATATGTGAGCTGGGTGAGAACCCCCAACAGCCCATTTATCTTAGTCATTCTTCCCAAGTGCAGTCAGGTGAGAACCTCTCCTCCAGAAAAGGGACTTCTGCAGCCTGGGTCACCCGCACCAGCTTCCATGGGCGTCCAGCAAAGCTGCTTTTTCCTCTCCCTCTCTTATGCTACCTTTAAGTGGGAAATCCCCAGAAATCGTATGCAAAAACTTTTCATTATAAATTTGTGCTTTTATTTCTAGGAATTGGGTTCATAGCATTCACTGAATTCTTAAAGGAGCCTATAAAGACAAAAAGGTTAGCAAACCCTATAGTTAGAATATGCTATTCACCATTCCCCAGAAATGCCTGTTTTCTTACATCTCATTCCTTGCTCATTCTCTTTACTCTTCACACTTCATTCCATCTCTGCAAGTTGGAATCCTACCAGTTCTTCAAGGCCCTTCTCAAAGGCCACTTCTTTCATGAAGCCTTTCCTAATGTGATCTTGTTTTCCTTTAAAGGTCCAAATCTTTTTGTTTATATTTCTTTTGAGGACAACTACTATTTTTTCCTTGCTTCTGTTATTCTTTATGTTCTTGTTATTCCCCCTCACCGATTATGAATATCTTGAGAGCTGGAACTGCTTCCTCATTTTTATAGTCTCTGAAATACGTTATTTTAGTGACTGTAAGCCATCATCTATTGTGTGGCACATCATTATTTTAGGCACTATTAAGAAAGAAAAAATACTGTCAATTAAATAATCACTATGCTTTCTTATCAATTATATTTTAAATTTTTACTCAAAGAGCTCATTTAGACTTATTTAGAAACAGAACATTTTTATATGACTACAATGTACACAAATATAGCTGAAAGTCATTATAGTATTCCTACACAATTCCTTCACACTGAATCTAACGTTTCTCAGTTAGTTTTTGACTCAAAGTTGTTGATGTTATGTTACCAAGTTTTTATGTTTTTGGGGTCATTTTGAGTGTTAGTGAAGCAGCATTTCTTAAAAAGAGAGCTTCACTGCTGTCTGTGGGAATTTCTTCCAGGCCACACACCTCATTCTGCAAGTTCTGCAATGGGGACTTTTTTGACCTTGCCAGAAAATGTTCAACAAAGATGTTCATTCAGACAACAACTAGGACTAATATTTCCTTAAATTGTCCTTAAATAGTTAATTGACTGAAACTTCAAGGGATTGTAGATTTCTAGGCATGCCACCTAGAATAACAACAAGGCCCAGGCATGTGCAAGAATGATAACTATGTTCTGACTTTGCCGCTCAGCCAACAGTAATTATCAGCTGACGTTGATGATCAAGTACAAGGCATACCCCCTTCAGAGACATTAAAATGTTAAGGAAAAGTGTGTCTGGAGTCGATGAAATCAGTAGTAAAGGACCTTTCTCCTAATAGGCAGAAAATAAGTGTTTCATTGAGTCTTAAATCTATAAATGAAAAACTTTCATGATTTTAGAGCTGGAAAAAAATAACCATCTCTTAGAATCTTCAAAAATGTTATTGTTGAAAAAACCTTAGTGATGATCATATAACCATTTTATATATAACTCAGATGTCTGAAGAGATTACCAGGCCTCTTAGAATCTGATCAAAGTTGGCCC